ATAGAAATAATTATACAATATTTTACGCTCATTGGTTTGGTGAAATGGGTGAATCAATGATAAGATTTTTAATGAAAAATATCCAAAATAGTGATGTTCTTCTAATTTTCTTTTGACATTTCAACTCTGGGCTACCGATTGTCAATCCATTTTACCTGCACAGGAAGCACAACAGCAGACATTAACGAATTGGACATTTTACGCGAAATTCCCAACTCATGCAATGCTAATAGGGATGAGAATTTCGTATAGAATTTCGCAAATTGTTAAATAATGAACGTGAAATTAAAAAATAATGCGTATCGAATGCGAATACTCGATTTCATTAAACAGAAGTGAGTGGCTTATATCACTCGGGTATATTTATAAAAAAGGAAGATTCAGGAGTATTTATTTTATCCACCTGGGCTAATTCAATCTGGCTAATTTAATCAATTTTCTCAAAGTTAATAATCATTTGCTCACTGCCAATTATGGGATCACGTATGTAATTTAAAAACCACATGAACTTTCCATGAGCACTTTGTTGAACTTATATGAACTTATTTGTTTCCTTGGCTGGCCGTATGTCTAGACCTATTATTTGTACTATTGAATAATTGAAAGGTCTTACAAATTTGGTTTTCATTTTGTTCTTACTGATTGTGATTCCCCGTAGAGTTTATGAGAGAGAAAATTAAAATTTGAAATTAAACCCACTAGCTATTGGAATCGACAAGTTCAACGAGTTGGTTGTGCAACTGAAAAAAAGTTCACGCATGAACTGGGACATTCTGAAAAGTGTGAGTAGACTTATTCTAGGAGATATTACTAAATTCCAATCAGTTAATTATTTTGAAGACTTTTCCAAGGTCGCATTTATGTTGCTTGCAGAAGTGGCCCATGGAACGCAAGTTTTCAACTACTCATTGCAATAAATTTGTTTATTCGCACAAAATGGTCGCACGGAGCAAACCAGACATTATTGACAGCTCACAGACATAACTTCAGTGAGAGCAGGTGGTTTCGGTCCTAATGGACATCAAACCGGGGTGTGCGATGGACTTACCTGGGCAACGTATATTCATACGGCAAAAAAAGTATATTAACTGGCAGTTGACCTCAACTTATTTGGCCTTCGTAAGGTCAAAACTTTAAAATTTAATTATTCATTTCAAATGACAGGCATTTTGTTAGTTATCATTAGCCCTTTAGCTGACTTCAGGCTTCATTGAGGGGAAGGAACATCAAATTGAATAAAAGTCGAGAGAGGGAGGACAGAATAATGATTCACAGATGTAGAGGAAACAGGCAGACAAAAATGTTGAATAAGAGGTAAGGCGAGATCTGCTGAAATGGTGGAAAATGGCATACAGTGGGGTGATAGTAGTTAGAAGTCAGAAGTCAACTACCGGTTAATAGACTTTTTTGCCGTATGAGTATACGTTGCCCAAGGTGCACCACGTGGAGGTAAGTCTATCGGCCACACACCATCGTAGGTTAATAGTGAATTATAAAATTGCTCGGAGTTTGACACAAGTTAGCATTATCCAAATTTGATTCATTATATTTTTTGGTAGAGTGCGAAGGCGTGAATCCTACACTGTAAATTTCGACAGGTCAATTAGTTAACTATTTGACGCCCTCAGGATTGTTCGAAATATGCTCCATTGGTGCTAGACTCTTTAAAGAGGACGCCATTGACGTTTGAAACCCATTCAATATGCGTCTATATCCTTCGCCTGTTACCACCCAAACTCATCACATCGGCGGCATCAGTCTGCTGTGAGACACGTGTGAGTGCGGTTGGGTGCATTTATTTCAAAAATATTTATTTATTTATTTCAAATGGCGGGCGTTTTGATACTTATCATTAGCCCTTTAGCTGACTTCGGGCCTCACAGAGGGGAGGAGGAACATCAAAGTGAGAAAAATTCGCGAGGAGGGGGGGGGGGGCTGAAGATTGATTCAAAGATGAAAAAGAGACAGACAGATAGACACAAAGTCGCAGAAAAGGTGAGATGAGTACTGTAAAGTGTTGGAATATGACATACAGTGGAGCCATGGTAGTTTGAAGTGAGAAATCAACTACAGGTTATAGACTTTTTTGCCGTATGAAAATATGTTTCCCAGGTTGCATTACGTGGAGGTAAGTCCATCGCACACCCCCTTGAAAAAAAAATAATTCAGGAGTTAAAGGGTTAAATTCGAAAATTCCTTGTGGCAATACCATTTTATATTATTTAAAAAAGGGTAAGCGATAGACTTACTTCCACGTGGTTCACCCTGGGCAACGTATACTCGGGCGGCAAAAAGTCTATAAACCGGCAGTTGACTTCTGAGTTCAAGCTATCATGATCCCACTGTATGTCATATTCGACCCCTTCCAAAGTACTCATTCTCCTTTTTCTCTGCCTTTGTGTCTGTCGGTTTGTCTCCTCTACATCTTAGAATCACTCTTCAGTCCCCCCTCTTCCCACTTTATCTCACTTTGATGTTCCCCCTCCCCTCTGCGAGGCCTAAAGTCAGCTAAATGGCTAATGATAAATACTCAAAACGCCTGCCATTTGAAGTAATTTTATTATTTAAAAAGACAGTAGCATAATTCAAGGCGAAATCCATATTGCTAATTAATAACGCAAGTCGCTTCTTTTCACTGGCACGAAAAGAATGATAATTATAAAAGAAAATACAATGTGCTGTGTTTTTCAGGCTTTTTATTGCTACTTTGAATTTTGATTGAAATTTGATATTTGTTTTCATAATCTTCTAGTTAAATGGTAAAATTATTATTCATCTAATTAACTTTAATTAAGTAATCCAATTAAGAGCATCATTAAACACTGAATTTTGAAGAAAGTATTAACTGTTTTAGTATTTAAGTAGTTAGAACCGCGCTAACAAGTATTTAACAAATATCCTTGCAACTATTCACAGTGTTTGGCCCCAGAGACAATTCTACCGAATTCTGCCTACAATGCTTTAAGTCCGGTTTCTTATCTTGGCTTTCAATAGATTCAAAGGCAATTGGACGTCTTTTTGGCATCATTCATGAAAATATTAATCATTTACTTTCATATTTTATGTCTATCACTGTTCCTTGTCAGTGATTATAAACAGAAAAATGTGTAATGCAATTTCACAGTTTCAAAATATTGCCTTCATTCATCGACAATACGCTAATTAGAGCCGTAATATATTAGATCATCACGAACCAATCACATGATCCAGTTCATTGTTAATAGTTGACACAAGGTTAACTGTAAGGATATAGACATATTGTTTCATTAATTAATAAAAGTGCGTTTTGCGTCACTATATCGCATTGCCAATTTCGAGGGTCTCTGTTAGTTACTCTATACTTTAAAGTCAATTTTAAAAGGGATCCCGTTTCTTAAAAATTGATTTTTACCACATTGTTTGTAGGCCCTGGAAGTACTGAGATTGAAAATAGGGTCGTTTACTGTTTTTACACATCGAGCTATTCATAATTTAATATTCAGACGAAAAAACTCGCGTTTTGATCAACAATGCGTGGTTCAGTAAACTTGCAACTTTACAAATCTTAATTTATTGTAGGACCAAAGTGCATTGAATGATAAAAAATAGGATGTAAATTGAATTAGATTTTTGATTTAGACGCACGCAATTTCTGTGCCATATGAAAATGATGCAATCTCACAGAAAAAATGGTACTTAATCATTTCTCACGCGGTCATCAAGTTCATGCATTTAAAATTGGACACCATTTTATTCAATTCAAACCTCTTTCAATTCTGAAATTAACATTTCAACTTAATTTTTTTCTTTGCTAATTGCAAGGAAGTAACATTTTGCCCTAAATACTTTGGTTTTTGAGGTTTTTAATTCCTGATTCTTTAATGAATTTAAATCTTGGTTAAAATGTTACAGAATATATGCCCTCTTAAGAGAACGAGATGTACGCCCTGATGTGGCATTTTGGGTTCGGTTGTGCAATGATTAATGAAATGTGAATATATGTTGAATTTGCTACTTAATATTGATTAAGTAGTAAGTAATATATAGAACAAATTTATTTATTTTAAATGGCAGCCGTTTTGATAGTTATCTTTAGCCAATCAGCTGATTTCTGGCTTCTCAGAGAGGAGGAGCAACATCAAAGTGGCAAAAAGTCGAGAGCGGGGACAGAATAATGATTCAAAGATGTAAAAGAGACAAACAGACAGACAAAAAGGCAGAGAAAAGGTAAGACGAGTACTGTTGAAGGGGTCGAATATGGGGCCATAGTTTGATGTCAGAAGTCGACTGCCAGTTAATAGACTTTTTGCCGTATGAGTATACGTTGTCCAGGGTGCACCACTTGGAGGTAAGTCTATCGCATACCCCAATATATGTAGAACAAATAAATACCCTCAAACTTCTGGGACCTTCACAACTACTTGAAAACTGCTTTTAGGTAGAAAAAACTTCAAATCGAAAATTTTCAATTGAATATTAGCTCTAAATTAAATGAGTTACAGGCACGCGAACCGAAAATCTACAGTTATTTATTTAAATGACACTTTTTGCCCGCAACTTCCAAAAGAGGCTGTAACTAAGAAATTTTTCGTGTCTGATAAAAATTATCGGAGGTCCAGCAAAGGTATCACACGCGTGATCAGCTGCCAAATTTAGCCAAGTCTGTAACCGGCCCTCATAGCAAGACTTTAGAAGTTCCGTATATGAATTGAACTTCCCGTCTGGGTACACAAATGAAGGTAATACCTCATTGATACTTTGAATTCAGCGTCTTATTCTAAGAGGCTGTTCTAGATTAACGCGATAAGATATTTTTAGGTGGTAAAAAGCGAAAGTTCAAATGTCTACTGAATTTTCCACCACAAAATAGCGGCAATTGAACAAGAAAGTCAAAACAGCTGTAAGATCACAGATATATTGTAGTATCACAGATTAAGACAGTCAAAATCAGATCAGATCAACAAAAGAGGAAAAAAAGTGAAGATATAGAAGACAATTCGAGAATGACACAGGATATTCGCCTATCCGGATTTGACAATGTCAGATTGATTCTTGCTGCCATTCTCACTGAGGGTCTTGTCGCTATTGGCGTGTTCTCGCATGGCTTGGGCTGCCACATGCCAAGCTAAATCAATCCACTGAGCCGGCACCCATTGAGGTTTACGTTCGAGTTCCAAGGCGATATTCGTGAGCTCCGCTAGAGCTGTGTCAGGACTTCGGGGTACAATGAGAAACTCGAAGAAGTGACCATAATGTTGCTCCATTTTCTGACTCTCCTCCATACACGATTTCAATTCATCGTCCTGAAAGATTAAGGCAAAAGATGTCACTGGGAGTCACTTCAAAGCGGGGGGGGGGATGGGGGAGTAGATTATCAGACCACAGTATTTCCTCAAATTTGATCGAGACATTTTTATAAGTAAACATCAACCATTGAAATGTTATCAACCACTGGAATCCATTCATTTACGGTAGATGCTTACACACATCCACAAGGTTTATTGGTAACCAGTAAGGGGTAATGAATCTTCGAAGTCAAGCCTTATATCGAAAGATAGGAATGGGCGATCTCAATGCGCAATGACTTCCCCACTGCTTAGTACTTCCAGAAACTTAGCAACCAATGAAGATTAACAACTGTTTTGAAGCACACACACAAAGCACACTCACGGGAATGTTAGCGGTGGCATTGTTCCACTGTTTGCTCAACTTCCGCATCTCATCAAGATTGTCTGGCGGCGAAACGAAGATAACACAGGGCAGAAAAGGTGTCCGTCTAATTGCTCGAATTGACTAAAGTACAAAAAAATCGATAGATCAATCAAAAGCATATAAGACGGTCTCCAGTTCACTTATGCTGACTAATCGTGTTTTGGCAATATTTTCGACAAAATATTGCGCAAGATATTCAATTAAGAAATGGGAAATAGTGAGCTGTCATTACATCACCAATAGCCCCAGATAAGAGACGACAATTTAGGAAACCTATCTGAACGCAAAAAGAATCTTGAGACGAGGAGTTTCCATCGTTAATGATGAGGAGAACGAAAGTTATGCCCTTGATGGCTGCTAAGCCATCGGTATATCCCCAAACCCGAGTGATGTTGATAACCTAGTGACAACACACCTTAGCAGAAACTAGGTGTGCCGGATAGAATTAAATATCTTGTACAAAAGAAATTGAAGTGTCAATTAAACGATTTCATTATTTTTTCAATTTTCTTTGTGCAAATTTTGCATTATTATTAAAATATACTAAAATCCTGGGCAGTTGAATGACATGGTGTGGAGTTAATTTACGAAAACTCGTTAAATCTCGTGTTGTGGTGGTAGTCAATAAAGTTGGTACTATTTGGAGGGCATTGGATGAAAATATCAGTAAAAATGTTTCCGAATCATGCAAGGTAGAAGAAGAAAAGAAGAAAGCGCTGTCTCGTCAGTGAAATGTGTCCTGTCAAATATGAGTACTCTTCAAAATCACCCCCCCCCCTCACACGCGGAAAAAGATCTGTAAGTTGCCCTGAAGCTGTGCAGGTCATGAGAGAAGCCTTTGGCCAACACTCCTCCCCCAAAACACCCGCTTTAACCGTCTTAAATTGCAAGCAATTTGAACTTCCATTAGGATAAATTTAGGTCCGTCAACTTTACGGAGGAGGCTTTGAGAACCACAACGAATTCGTTAATTGTAGCTAATTGGGAATAACTTCGATGCCTGCCATTTGAAATAAATAAACTTTCGGGGGTGTGCGATAGACTTACCTCCACGTGGTGCACCCTGGGCAACGTATACTCATACGGCAAGTAAGTCTATTAACCGGCAGTTGACTTCTAACTTCAATGGCTCCACTGTATGTCATACACGACCCCTTCCACAATACTCATCTTACCCTTTTTCTCTGCCTTTGTGTCTGTCTCTTTTACGTCTGTGAATTATTATTCTGTCCCCCTCTCGACTTTTTACCACTTGGATGTTCATCTTCCTTTCTGTGAAGCCCGAAGTCAACCAAAGGGCTAATGATACCTGTCATAACGCCTGCCATTTGAAATAAATAAACTTTACGGCGGAGGCTTTGATAACCATAACGAATTCGTTAATTGTAACTAATTGGGAATAACTTCGATGTGACCCTGCAAGCAATGAACAGAGGAGCTAAGATTGTGAATTTTCATGGATTCTGTCGAAACATCAACGGCGTCTGGTGAATAATGTGTCTACAATTACGCCTCAATTCATTAAACTCCTGGCACAGTCGAATTCTTTTGTTGAACAGATGCCCTCTTCATCTTGCTAACACTATCATGATTGTATATCCAAACAGTAATTATATTTCAAGAAGTATCGGTATAAACACCTCCGAAGAGCCCCCGCAGGACTCGATAGAATTTCAGAGTAGTCCACCAACAACATGCTCAAATTTAGTCAAGGACAAAATCAGCCAGCATGGAAGGAATGTGAATTTACAGAACAACGAGAATCTTATTCGCCAATGCTGATGGAACCAAAAAACTGAAGGAAGTTGTGGAAATCAATCAGTCGTCTAAATCTAGAAACGATCTCCAAAAGCTACAATCAGCAATTAGGCAAGTCTGGTGAATCAATAGGGAAACAGAGCTGTAGCGTGAACTACTAGACAGTAGTACACCCCAACAGTAGCTTACGTAGTAGACTCCCACTTTAACCTGATTGGCTCAGTCAGGAGGTAGGGTACTGTGGAATCCTCTTACAAATTTCATCTGCAATCGTGTGCATTCTGTTGTATCTGCCACTTCATTTATCTCAAGGACGATGGTCCAGCGTATTTCCAAGTTATTTCAAGGTCTGTTTCCATCTATCAATATTCTAAGGTGGTATTGAAGCTGCTACTGAATGATCTGAGTAGTTTCATTGGTAGCCTTGGCATAAACTGCTCCTCACACTACCAAACTCTTACCACAACCGAGAAGTGCTAATGTCAGAATTAAAAGGAGTCTTTGAGCAACACATTACTACTGCTAAATCCAGTTTACACTGCAAACCGAACTCAGTGTTGGCTGACCATTCTTCTTCTTGGCTATGCTTTCAGTGTAGAATAAAGGAAAACAACAGAATTCGACAGAGCTACCATCTACCTTGTCTCAATCACAATCAGAAGCGTCCAGATGAGGATTGCCATAATAAGTGAGAATATGAAAGACAATATGGAATGATAGTAGCACAGATATCTACTCTCAACCATACCCACTTCAATCAAATGGCCATGGAGAAGGTTTCGTTGACAACGAAAGGATTTCAAGGCATCCATTTTAATGTACCAGAAGACGGTGCATCCAATGTTAAGTGGTCGCAGTTCTGCTGAACTGATATTCTTCATTAGGAACTTACCCGGCCTCCTCCCACATCCACCCCCCACCCCCTCCCACAAGGCAAAAATGACCTTCAAAAATTACACGGAAGTAAATAGGGTGATTCTACCATATTCTCCAAGACCTGTCCCAGCCCATTATCACCTCTTCAGACGTACACAGCATATTCTAAGAGAACAGTGATTTCCAAATGCAACTGAAGTGAAAAACCTCATTTCAAGACGAATAGCATTTTGACGTTGTTTTAAAAATGCCCAATTTCTTATTTACACTTCAAATACAGAATAGCCAATCGCTTAAATTAGTCCGCTAGGTATTCATCGAATACGTATCTCGTATCTATGGGACTCTTCCATTCCCATACTTTCAAAAAACAGAATTCAAGTTACATTCTCAGCCACCTTCCAATGGTAGCAATGGATCGCATGTAGGGTATGCTGGAAACCTTGTCAGCCGACGAGGCGCAAAGTAAAATGGACCCACAGTGGTCCCTATTTCCATGCTGATTGAGACGAAAGCAGTCAAAGTGGCAGGATCTTCCCGTCTTCTCAATCCCGTACCCCCTTTAATGTGTCTGCATCCACCTACTAGCATATCCTGCCATTTATGTGAAATTTTCTACAACAATTCCTCCTTTAAACCGCACGTAGGATTACAGATAACGTCACCAATCTTCCATTAATCTACAGTCTACTCCCACTCGCCGACTAGTACTTGCTATAAATTAAGGTGAACAAATAATTTCTCGAACTTACGTCGGGTCGAAGTGCGATCACGCAGACTTTACCAGCCTTGACAATGCTTTCAATACTAGACACCTTGGTTCCATAGTAATGTTTATTAAAGACACCCCATTCCACAAATGACTTGGCTTTGTGCAACTGTTGGAAATCCTGTTTGGTGATCACTTGGTATTGCTGGAATTCCGTCGATTTAGCCTCTGGGTTGGTTGTGTCTGTTAGGACAAAATAAAGGGAGAGATTACCCAACTACTGCCATTTACAATACGAGCATAGAAATTAGAACAAAAAAGTGAGGTCTAACTTACGAATAACAGGAACGTCATATCTCGTCCGCTTGCTCCTCAAAAGACCCTCAATCAACTGCTGCCGACCTACGTGTTTTGGTGCAACGAGGACTAGGGGGCGTTTGCGTTGGGGCTGGGGGTAGTAGAGGTCAACTAACTCATAGGTCAGAAGACTTGGTCGACGAATATTGTCACGCACAGACTCCTCAACCAACTGACGCAATTGATCTCCATCGGTCTTATTTAGACTTGCCATTTCTAGAAATTAGAAAAAAAAGGCTATTGAGACTGTATACAATGCGATATATATATATTGATTTAAACGTGATATTGCAACCCCCCCCCCCCCCACCACCACCACCCAGATATCTGTGAACGAGAATTCATTGGTTGTCAAAGTGGCGACTAAAACTCATTTAGTAGCTACTTAACTTCGCTTCACGTCTCCCTGGTTGGTAACATCAAATGATAGGAATGCAGAAACAATTATCTTATATCGATTCCATGTCATAGCCACTTTACATACAGAGTATGGTAGGATTAAAAGGTGTTCGACGATTGGCCCGGGGTTGAATCAATTATATTCTGTCACGAGTGAATATGAAGTCCAATAGCTGATTTTAACCACTCCAATCATTCACAACCTCGCCTATGATTGGTCATTAATTACATAATTAAATTAGATATGCTCTAGTTACCAAACTAGTCTTAAACGAAACAATTCTCTGTTCACCCTCTCCCTCCCCCTCCCCCCTTCAATCTGTGTTCTGACCAACTTCAGCAGATGTCTATAAACAGTGTGGGTTTTGACTGGACATTATCAACACAATGGAACACACGAGTTCTCGAATCAACGGGGTCATTGAATTGCAGCATAAAAATGTGCGTTTCCAAATTTTTACAATCTTCAAGTCAATATTCCCACCCCTCGTATTTATAGCGCAAACTTAACACAATTCAACTCGAACTACTATGCATTAGTAAATCATTGAAACACTTTTTTCCCAATGCGAATTTGTTAGTCCGTTCAAATTCTTCCAACTAGTATCTCTATTGGGGTGTTCCAATCAAGAAGTTGTTCTTAGCATGACTCCCTTCCAATTTTTTTTCCATGGAATCTAGCCTTTCGCCTCCCATTTCGAATCAGACGCCTAGAAGAAGAAGAAACATATTGCATTTCCCTTTGGGTTAGAAATATGACGTTCCAATCCCCGCGTATTCATTTTCGAAACTGGCTTCTAGTCAACGAATATCCTCCTTCCGTTCACTTTTATATCACCTTCGAAGATATTCACCTACTGGCTTTCATGTTGCTCTCCTCTCTGCCTTGAGCAGACTGACCATTGATATAAGTTCATGGTTTACTTCGGAACATTGTTTCCTTACTTCTTCGTTTAGCCGTACAACAACAATTAGCCAGAAATGAAACCCAGGTGAAAAAGTTGAAAAGTTAAGTACTTACGCCTAGTTGAAGGGCATGATTATGGATTTTTTTAAGTGCTAGAAACACCAATGCCACCCAACTTACTGACATCAAAGGTAAGGAAACACCGTGGGTCCATTTAGGGGTTAAACAAAGAAACCATAAATACTTAGAGATTGAGGAATTACCTTTCGAAATTTCATACTCATTGTTGCGTCGATTAGAGGAGTGACCGAAGATGCCACTTGAGGATTTCTTCCCACTGTGTCCACCAGTGACCATGCTTAGAATTTTCGATTTGTGAGGGTGCTTTTTACGAAGTTTCTTCAGTTGTTTCGGGCCCACGCCATGGGAACTCCATATGTACTCCTCAGCTTAAGGGATAAAAGGAAACAATTCGTAGGCCTTGAAATGTCCACGCCAAGAATATTAGGGGGGGGGGGGGCAATACTTTGAAAAGGGTCACTTCTTACAGGAAAGGA